TTTTTTTTTTTTTTTTTTGAAGATGTTTGTGGCAACTGGATCGAAATAGCATACGGCACTTCACAAGGCACAATAAGAGTGATTGTTCAACACCCAGAAACAGTCGGTCATGGTCCGCAACTTTTTCAGTCATTCACTGTACATACTTCTGCAATTACTCGGGTTGCCCTTACTGCAACTCATCTTATAAGTGGTAAGGGGAAATATTGCTAGATTTTATGCTTTTTAAGTACCATATTTTTTATAAGTGTAGTTTCGTGAATAATTAGATTTTTTGAGTTAAGAATAAACTTGATTTGGTTTCAACTTCAGTGTGTAGCGAATATAATCACGTCCGGTCTTGGGGTGTTACACGTTTTCGTGGGATGATTTCTACGCAGCCAGGTAGCACATCTCTTGCATCGTTTAAGGTTCTCACGCTAGATAGCATTGACGATCCGTTGGAAAGTGACATCATGGATCCTGGTAAAGTTTAGCTTTGTTCACTTAAAAGGCTTAGTTTGTAAGGAGAACTGTGTTTATCTGAAGTAGATCACTTTGAATTACAAGTGACTTTAGGTGTGCGACAATATTTTAAAAGTATATATAGTTTTTTTGATGCATATTATTACACAGACATTTCTATAACGTAGTGCGAAGTGCTTAATATCATGTTAATTTAATAATCTTTTTGGGTTCAGTAATAATCTTATTCTGTTACTTTCATTTATTGAACCTTAATCTTCATTACTACTGAAGGTGTTTGTCATGGGACAAATGGATAGTTGATGAACGCGATTTTTTTTATTCTCGGTTTACATGATTTCTTTTTTTTGTGATTTAGGTCCTTTTGGAGATCAGGATGGTGATCAAGTTTTTGTACAACGCATAGTTCCAGACACTAACCAGGTTTTTGTGAGACTGGCGTCTAACGGGGATAGGTAAAACTACTTGTTTCAGCTGTATTTTTATCGCTTGACTCATTATTTTTTTCAAAGTTTTATAGATTATGCACGATTCGTTCAGTTGACAATTCTGCTATATCTGCATTTTTGGTGCATGAGTGTGAGGGTTCTAACAGAATGGGAGCTAGACCAAGACGATACTTATTTACTGGTACTGCAAATGGAACTGTTCAGGTAGTAAAATTTTATTGCAACAACCAGTTATTTTATGTGATCGAATCCTCTCTTCCAGATGTGGGATCTTACGACTGCTTTGGATCAGTATCATCTACGAATGTCAACCAATTCTTGTGCATCATTAAGTCAGTCCAGTAATTCAGAGAAATCCAGTAACAATACTGGGAATACTTCTAACAATACGAGTAGTAATGCCAGTGCAGCAATGTTGCTGAACAGGCCTCTTCCTGCGGTTTTGCAAGTAGGGTTTAAGAGGATTTTTTTCCAAGTGTTTTTCCTTTATTTTTTTTAGGCTTACTGTTAAG